ATAGAGTGAGAGAGAGAGAGAGAGAGAGAGAGAGAGAGAGAGAGAGAGAGAGAGAGAGAGAGAGAGAGAGAGAGAGGCATGCACGTGGCAGGGAAGGCGTAGTGAACGAGAGAAGGGTATTCGCCGCTGGGAAATAAGGCCTCACAGTTGGGCAGCACTGTCGAGCATTGACCGGCAGACAAACGACGACCAACATTTCTCATCAATACATGATATATATAATCCCCCACCCCCTCACTCTCTTCTGTATTGGCCCTAATTCCTAGCTTTCTTTCAAATTTCTTCATTTAATTATTTAAATTATGCATGCTTTTAATTATGATATTTTTTTTCTTCTTTATTTTGGTCACAAATTCCAGTTATGTATGTTTTGTTTATTCATTTCAGATGACATGATCACTAGCTGAATTATATTGTGGAATTTATTATATATGCCAATACTGTCCCATGATTTAAATATTATATGAACTTCTAACAATATATATATATATCTGGTCTCGTTTAATTGTCAAACTAAGATTAAATAACCTAATGAAACTCAATTATTTTATCTTATTTATATGTAGGTCGATTCGACTAATTATTGAGGATACCAAATATCAAATAAAATTCAAGTATTCGGTTAATCACAATAAATCTTAACAACCAAACGAGACTTTTGACATCAGATTGGCACTTTTTCGGTAAGTTCGGGTCTATATATTGTGGATCCTATTATATATGTCTTTCGAGTTTTGAGTCTATTTTTGGGCCGGCTAAAGAAAATGTCTGTTGGGCTTTAATTGGGCTTCGCCTATTAACGTTAATTGACCAATATAGCCCTTTAACTATTAGCAAACTACAAATTTACCCTTACATTGTTATACGTTTCAAATTCATACCACAAAACTATTAGCAAATTACAAATTGGCTCGCAAAATTAAAATTGTGCCGATCGATATATGTTTTTGATGAATTGTGCTACCAAATGCTTGACATTCTCACAACTCATTCTCAGAATTAATTAAATCCAAGTATTAAACTTCATTTGTTCGCATTACATTATCCTTTCGTTGAGTTACGATATTCAGCTAGCTAGTACTTAACGACATACAATTTTATTTTTCCGTTTTAATTAATTTTACTATATATATTTATCGCATTACACGCGTCTGCAAGAAACAGACGCACAAGTTACACATTCAAATAATCTAACTTCCCGCGAAAAATCAATTAAAATAGTTGCCGCGCGTGTATCCCCTTAAATAAAATTGCATAAAAGAACTCACAAAACCGATACAAAATCCTAATCGAATGATGAAATATAAATGTACACATACATACATACATACATCGGCATTTACATGCATGCAATTGCAGATCAAAACTGCGCCTTCCGGCCGACATAATTATTTGAGGATTTAATTTACAGAACCAAAAGTAATTACATGAAATTAATTTACAAAAATAAAAATGTAGAGAAGCCTACCAAACAAAGAGAGTCATGAAGAAAGAGTAAAACAAAACAGACATTGGTAAAACGGAGAAGAAAAGGGCTAGCGAAGCCGGAGGATCGGGCTGCATGTAATACGGAAAAACGGCCACCGCTGTAACCAACAGTAGAATCATCAAAACCACCGCTAATCCCTTGTGGTCACAAGCCATCTTATTATTTCATTTTATTCATTTATTTATTTATTTATTTTTCTGGTAAGTCGCAGAAAAAGCTTCTATGGTGAACTTAATTTATAGCCAAAAAGACAAGACCAGAAATCAGCTACAGCATTCCTATGACTTCGATAGTATTCGAGAAACCTGCCTTTATAGTGCAACAATCG